TTAAGATTTATACTTGACAGAATTTTATTGGCAGTTGGACAAAAACAATTTTAACACATCCAATCACATGCTGCCATCTCAACCTTGACACTGTACGAGGGGCTTAATCCGTTTTCACTTATTAGCAAATGCGGGCACGAACTATTGCTCCATTAGATAGTTGGTCATCAAGCTTCTATTATAGTTGCATGATCAGTTTTTAATATCATAAGTTCATTGTTAAATCATAATGTGACTCTAAATATGTTTAAATTTATAAAGCTAGATTTTGCTTTTCGACCTGAATAGATATGGATTGGAGACTGACTGTCCAACAATAACGAAAGAATGGAGACCAACTTGCTCCTTTTAAAAGGTCGAAGACCTACTTGCTATTAGGGTAATATATTGGGAATAGTAGTAAAATTGTCACTTCAGTGTATTTTCAAGGTCAAGAGATTCTTCATGTCTAGTGCTGTAATAAACCATGATTTCAAATCTTTAGCGTATGCTTTGGAATCCCAACAGAAGAGAAGATATATTCCTACTAGAAGAATTTGGCACAGGATAATAATTTCTTACCAGAAAATTAGGGTGCGTTTGATTGGAATGGTAGAAAATGGGTGGAAAGAAAATGAATTTCAGGGAAAATGAATTGCCTAGAAATCATTTTACTGGGAATTGTCAATTATGTGTGTTTAATTTGTATAATTTTCCAGCTGAAAAATGTTGAAATTTTTCATCTTTTCATGTTTGATTGGCTTTAATTTTTCACATTTTTTACTGCAATCTGCCAATCTCCTGCCATTGAGTTCCCACCTCCACTATTTCCACCTTCCTCCACCATTGTCGGAATCCTACCTTCCTCTACTACTGCCGCCCTGTCTTCCGGTGTGGATACCAGCAGCACCAGATTTCCCTCCACCATATTCGACCTAAAATCCGCCATTTAACTCCACCAGATTTCCCTCCGCCGCCACCAGCACCATCTTCTTCTCCTTCAAACTCCACTCTTTTCCACTCATTCATCCGCCTCTTCCACCATCACACAACAAAAGAATTTCACCAACCAAGAATATGAAGAATTAGAGGACGACCCGCACGACGTCGCTACCCTCCCAAACCCTTACTACGACTTCACTCCCCTCCTCAACTTCCTCTCNNCAGCCTCCCAGTATATCCCTAAATCCGAGCCTGACCCACTAGTTCTTCCACTGATTTGATACGATCCACCCCTTTTTTCTTGGCCAGCAACCTAATTCCCATGGTAGCACCGTTTTTCCCCCTTGCCAAGAAAATAAAAAACCACCTAATCTACAGGAAGATGAATTCCTCATTTCTGTGGAAAAAGGGGTCACGTGAGGATTAAATGGAAAAACAATTGCCTGGAAAATTTGGTCTGTCAAACAGCCCAAAAGTTGGAAAATTGTGTGATATTTTCCATTTTCCATAGAAAATTGGGTAAATCAAACAGGGCCTTATATTTTCTATGAATTCATTGCAG